GTCCCCCCCCCGTTCTACCCCCCCTCCTATCCCCCTTCTACTTCCCCCCTGTTACCTGCTTCCTCCCCTCCTATGCCCCCCCCCTTTACTTCCACTCCCCTTTCCCCTTCACCTCCTTTCCTTTTCCCCCTCTTTTCTTTCCCTCCCTTTCCCTGAAAGGAAATTGCTGCTGCTCCTGTGCATTTTTCTGAGGGAACAATATTCTTCCTATTTCTGCTTTTCTGAGAGAAAAGTGATTTTCCTGTGTGTTTTTCTGAGGGAAAAAGAGATTTCACTTCTATTTTTTTTCTGAGGGAACAAGGATTTCTGATGGTATTTTTTAAATGAGGGAAAACACAAGTCCATGTTTTTTTGTGTGCATTCTTTTTCCCTGAAGGAAAGGAAATTTCACCTTTTTCATGTTGTTTTTTTTTTTTCTCCTGAAGGGAAAACTTCTCTTTTTTTATTTATTTATATCTATATTTATTTATATCTATATATTTATATCTATTTATTTATTTTGCTTTTCCTGAAGAAAAAGGAAATTTCTGGTGTTCCTAGAGAAAAGCCAATTTCTGCTCTTTTCTTTCTCCCCCTTGAGGAAGAAGGAAGTTTCTTTGTTGTTTTCCTGATGAAAAAATGAAAATTCTACTTTTTTCTTCCTTAAGGAATAAGGACATTTCTCTTTACCCTGAGGCAAAGCCTTCAGAACCCTCCAATGTTGCTGAGGAAGAGGGAAGTGCTATTCAGAGTCAACTCTTTGAAAGGGTAGATAATAGCAAGACAAGGGAAAATGGTTTTAAGTTGAAGGAGGAAAGATTTAGGTTGGGTGTCAGGGAGAAGTTCTTTACAGAGAGAGTGGTGAGGTGCTGGAACAGGCTGACAGAGAGGTTGTGGATGCCCCGTCCATCCCTGGAGATGTTCAAGGCCAGATTGGATGGGGCCCTGGGCAGCCTGGTCTAGTATTAAATGGAGAGGTTGGTGGCCCAGCGTGTGTTGGGAGGGTTGGAGCTTCATGATCCTTGAGGTCTCTTCCAACCCAATACATTCTATGATTCTCCTGAGGGGAGAGAAGTGTCCACTTCAGAACAGCAGTAACTTTGCCTTTCCACTCTTCTTTTTCCAGGCACAAAACATGGCAGAGTGGCCAGGGCTGCAGACCTTGGCCCGCCAAGGAAAGTTGAATCTTCTGGAGGTTGCACTGAAGGATGGAGCTGCCATCAACCGACGCTGTGACCGTTCTGGGGACACACTGCTGCACGTGGCTGCTCGCCACGGCCACCTCCACCTTCTGGTGCTGCTGCTGGAGACACTGGGCATGGATGTGGAGGTGGCCAATGGGGACTACAAGAGACCCCTCCACGAAGCAGCCTCCATGGGACACAGGGAGTGTGTCTCTTACCTCTTGGCCAAGGGAGCCAGCGTGGATTGTCTGAAAAGGGCTGATTGGTAGGTGGGCTTTATCCAAACCCTTCTGAGAGCAAAAGGCAGAGGAGATGGGGAAGGTTTTAGAGGACAAAATGTGTGAGGAGCACCTGAGGACAATTCAACAAGACCAAGTGCTGTGCCCTGCACTTTGGCCACAACAACCCCAGGGAATGCTACAGGCTTGGGACAGAATGACTGGAAGACTGTGTAGAGGAAATGGATCTGGGGGTATTGGTCAACACTTGGCTGAACATGAGTCAGTTGTGTGCCCAGGTGGCCAAGAAGGCCAATGGCATCCTGGCTTGTATCAGAAGTAATGTTACCAGCAGCAGCAGGGAAGTGATCATTCCCCTGTACTCAGTGGAGCAGTACCTTGAGTACTGTGTTCAGTTTTGGGCCCATTAATACAAGAAGGATGTAGAGGTCTTGGAGCATGTCCAGAAACTGGGCAGCAAAGCTGTGAGGGATCTGGAGCACAGGTCTTATGGGGAGCAGCTGAGGGAGCTGGGATTGTTAGTCTAGAGAAGAGGAAGCTCAGGGGTTATTATTACTCTGTGCAACTTCGTGAAGGGAGGTTGTGGCAAGATAGGGGTCGGCCACTTCTCCCATGGAACTAGTGATAGGATGAGATGGATGGGGCTCAGGTTGTGCCAGGAGAGATTCATCTTGGACATTAGGAAATAATAATTCTTAAAAGAGTGATGAGGCACTGGAACATGCTGTCCAGAGAGGTGGTGGAGTCCTAAAACTGGAGCTGTTCAAGAAAAGTTTTGGTGTTGTACTGAGGGACATTTTTTAATAGGGAAATATTGGTGGTTGGACTGGATGATCTTGGAGGTCTTTTCCAACCTTGGTGATTCTATGGTTCTATGGTTTGTTCAACCCAAAGAGGAGACTGGGGGAGAACTCATGGCAGCCCACAGCTTCACAGAATCATAGAATTATTAAGGTTGGAAAAGACCTCTAAGATCACCAAGTCCAAACCATCCCCACCATGCCCACTAATCATGTCCCTCAGTGTTGCAGCTCCACATTCCATGAACACATCCAGGAATGGTGATTCCACCACCTCCCTGGGCAGCCTTTTCCAATGCCACTCTTTTTGTGAAGAATTTTTTCCTAATATCCAACACAAATTCTGTGCCTGGGAAGCATTTGGACAACACTCTCAGTCGTAGGCTTTGAATTTTGGGTGGTGCTCTGTGGAGCCAGAAGTTGGATCCACAGTGATCATAGAATGGACTGGGTTGAAAAGGACCATAATGATCATCTAGTTTCAAGCACCCTGCTATGTGCAGGGTTGTCAACCACTAGACCAGGCCAAGGGATCCTTATGGGTCCCTTCTAGCTTGGGATATTCTGTGATTCTACAAATCTGAGGGCAGGAGCCAAATCTAATTCCAGCTCTCTGTTCTCCCCCTTTTTATCATGGAGGTTATAAGTTAGTATTTCATTAGCAGATCCAATTTAAAAGCTTTGATCTCCTTCAGTTTGTTTCACTCCTTTGTGTGATAGGACTCAGTGTATCTCTTTCCTCTAGAACTGGAATAAGAAGCTAGAAACATAAAAACAAACAAACAAATAAAGAACAACTTTGCTCCTGTTTCCTTCTAGCAAACAGAGCCTTTTGGGAAAGATTTGCTACTGATAAAGTAACAGCATCACGACCCAAGAAAGAGCTAGTTTCTTCAGAGCTTTTATTTTTTTGCCTGCTTTGTAGGAAACATGTCATCAAATGCTGAGTGAATGAGCACTGGGGTAGAAAACAAGGTTTATTCCCCGGCGTGCAGCAGGCCTGGTTCAAATAGAATGCTACATCCCTGTCAAACTCTGCTCTTGGGGAAGGAATTCCTTCTAGCACGTTGCAAAAAAAAAAGCAGAGATTTCCCCCTAGCACGAATGAAAGGCGAGCAATGCCTTTTTGAAGCTGCAATAACACAAAAGCAAAGGCAGCTTCCCAGTCCTCCTAATTAGAGGCTGTGCCAGCACCAAGCTGACATCAGGGGGAGCAGAGGAAGGCAGAGATCTCAGAACTGCATGCAAGCCTGGTTTTTGGTGATAGGTCTACAGCACCACGGATTAAATACGGTGCACTGCATACATCCTGGCACGTGTCCTAGTCCTCAAAGTCTCATCTGCATTAAAAATATGTGCTGGTCTGAAGAGCTGTGTGGAAGTGGAGCTGCAGGAAGCAATGAGCTTCAGGCTCAGCTCTACCCATGCCAGGCATTTATCTCATCTCTTCTTAAAAATCTCCATTAATGGAGATTTTTATCTCTCCTCTCAGCACTCTGTCCACATCCATAAAACTGGAAGCATTTGTCCTCATGTCAAAGCCAAATCTTTCACCGTGGTTTAGGTGCTTTGTCCAACAGGAAGAGTTTTTTGTGCTGTTCTTATGAATGGGGGGATGTATTTCTTTTTGTCCCTCAGCTGATACGTGTCAGTTATTGCTGATGAGCTTTTCATCATTTCTGGGACAGCTCAAGGTTTCTATCCAATCTGTGCAAGCACCCAGAGTTTGATGATGGGGTGAAGTTTTTGGATCAATAAAATGGTGAATGTGGCTCCACTTGCAACAGTTAAACCTTTATTATTCCTAACGCCGTGTTGGTTAGGTAACGTGGTAATTAAAGAAAACAAATTGCTGCTGCTGAGATCAGTAGAATGAGTCATCAACATAGAGCCAAATGCTGGAGATGAAGGTTCACTGCCTTAAGTAACCCATGCCTTGCCTTGAGGGTAAGCCCTCAGCTGACACCCATCTCTGTGCTCCCTCAGGGTTGGCTATAAAACCCACAACCTCTCTGGTCCTTGCAAGGGGGAATGAAGAAGGAGATGAGGAATTTCTCCTATCCAAAAAGGAAAAATTAGAGGCTGAACCTTTCCAGGCAGGAGTTGGTGTTGTTAATCTGTAATGCATGGGTTCCAGCTGTGAGTGGGTGTGGGATTGGAAGCAGGGCAAGGTGGGCTGTTGTCTGTGTACAGGTTGTACCTGCTGACTTTGCTTGCCAGAAACCCCACACAATCTGTGCGAAGGACAGCCTTAAAACTATGGGATGGAGAAAATGCTGTTCTGCTGGGGAGTTTTAGAAATGTTCCTCCATACCAAAAGTTGTTCCCAGGCACATGAAACAGGACAAAGCTCTGAAAATCTTCCCTCTCAAACAATTCCTTGGCATCAGAAGTTTTTCAGAGTAGCATTTGCTGGTGCAATCATGCTAGGAAAAGTGTTCTTGTCCATGGTTTGCTACCTACAACCACAGCTGACCCTCTAGATGACAGGGGTAGGATCAACCAGGATAGGAAACACTGCTTTTAATCATCTCTTTTCTTTCAGGACTCCCCTAATGATGGCTTGCACCAGGCAGAACCTGGAGGTGATCAAAGAGCTTGTGGAGCACGGAGCCAACCCACTGCTGAAGAATAAGGATGGTTGGAACTGCTTCCACATTGCAAGCAGGGAGGGCCATCTCCAGGTCCTCCAGTACCTGCTGGCTGTGTCCCCAAGCAGCTGGGACACAGAGAGTACCATCAGGAGAACACCACTGCACACAGCAGGTCAGGAGAGTCCTGTCCCCAGTGCTAATGAGGTTGGAGGGTCCTCAGTTCCCATTTCACTGAATTTTATCTCTGTGCTTTTCCCAATTTAGTTCATAGTCTCACCAGTTTTTGTAAGGGATGCATCTCTCAAACCAATCCATCCTTGTCCAGATGCTCAGTGGATTAAGCCTTTGTGGTACATCTGAAGAGCAGTAGGTTTGGTAGGCAGAGCACCCAGTAGAATTTCAGGTTTTGTTATTCTTGTGTTCCTCTTAAAAAGGAAGGTAGCATTGAGTGGGCAGAAATACAGACTGCTTTCTGTGCTGGGAAAACACTGAGGCTGAATCTGCTGTGCCCAATTCCCTTTTTAAACCCTTTTCAGTGGCTTAAAAGGGAGGTATATGGGACCTATAAAGGGAGTGACCAGGTCTGAAGGACTTCAGATGTTATCTGTGGGCATCGCAGGAGGCAGAAAGACACAGTTATCTGAATGGCAACCCAGAGGCAGTTTGCATTTGGTTTCTGGCTTTTGGACTTTCCTTCCATCGTTGTTAAGAACTGGATGCCTAGCTGATAAATGCCACATGGTGTACCTCAGTTAAGTCCTTCATGTTTTAGTAAGTTGGATGGCCTCAAAATCTGTTAATGCAGAATTAAGTTTGTCCTGCCAAATCTTGTTTTGCTTGCAGAGTAGCAGGTCTGCTTACCCACAGACATGTGCAAGGTCAGCCATACAGATAACACTTATGTTTCCAGGGCAGAAATCCCATTAACTCTGCCCTCCAAAGATGCAGTGGGATGATGAAGGAGGGTCAGGGAAGGGAAAGGTGTGTGACAGCACATTGGAATGATGGTGTGGGGCAGCTTTGGGGCTGCAGGATGGTGGCTTACCTGAAACTGAAATGTACTGTGTTCCTGAGTGGGGATTTGGCTTTTTTTCCTGGGGCTCATCCATGCCACCGCAGGAGATCTGAGCATGAGGAGCCACTGCTTAAAGCCACAGCTACCTAAATTCATTTCCCAAAGACTGTAATAGGGATTGACTCTCCGGAAAGACCCGAGGTATAGGGAGGAGACCTCTGCTGTGCTTTAATTAATCTGTTGGGTATATCACCCTTTTGGCTGTCATTCTTATTACTTCTTCAGCCCTCAGCAGTCGCCTGTCCACCACGCTGTGCTCATCAACAGTGACAGTCCCAGCCTACAGGCACTGACTGCTCCATAGTCCTTGTGCCTGACCTGAGAGTGAAAAATAGCTGATGTGCTGTTTGATGTTTCATGCTGAGTGGTGAGGAGCAGCTTGCGTGAGTGAGAAGTGGATAATCCTTGCTTATCTGTGTGTTCTGCTCTCCCTGTGTAATCCCAAGTCTTCTGTCCTTGTGCCTACATCAGCAGGCTGGGCTCACAGCTCATCTCAGCCTTTAGATGGATGTCCAGAATATGGGGATGGAGGAGTGGGTATAATATAGGTGAGGAATTTCCTGCTGAACGCCTTGAAGTATCTTTTCCTGCCTCATAACACTTGGAATACGGGGCTAAAGGCAGCAGCATTGTGCTCTACTTCAAGTTATCTCCACCCCACCATGTTTGACTTTCCCCATGGCAAAGCCCTCAACACATTTTGTGTTGATTTCCAGTCATTACACTGATATATCCACTTCAGACTGAGCCACAGTGGAGCAGCAGCTGCTGCAGAAGCAATGGGGCAGCAGGAAAGTCTGGAGCTGTTAAACCACCTTTGCCCCCAGCATCACTTTAACTCAGGACCACGCTGGAGGCTGCTGCTCATTGCAGGCACTGCTCAGTGTTGGTGCCAGCATGCAGATACAGCTCCCAAGGCGAGGGCATGGGTGAGGGGCCAGAGGCAATGCTGGAGCTGCTGGGGGAAATCATGTCAGATGAGCTGCCTTCTCCATGAGTTTACATCCTTGGGTGTGGATATGAGCTCGTTAACCCGTGACCAGGCCAGCTGCCTTCCTGGCACCATTATCCCTGGGTAGATGATGGGTAATGTTCTCCCCTTGCCATTTTTTTTTTGTTTGTTTTGTTTTTTTTAAGGCAGATTCTTCAAGCCTTGCTTCTTCATATATCCATAGCCTAAGGCAAGAGGGGGGGGGAGATGTAATTAGAGGAAGTGGAGTGCTACAGCAGATCCAAGCACAGCAGCTTTCTCATGTCTCTGTTGCTGTACAAGGATATAATTGTGTTGCTTGGGTGGCTTTTTCTTTTTTCAGACCAGCTTGGCTTTTTTTAAAGCCTGTGTTTCAAAAATCCTTTTCACAGCGTGGTTCTGCCTGAATTTACATCAGCCCAGGTGAAGGGGTGCTGTGTGGGAAGGGAGCAGGAAAACACAGCCAACATCAGGGAGGGTGGGAGTGCTGGTTGGGCTTTCAAAGAGCATCTATTGTGCAGCCACATCTGAAGGTTATTGCTGTTAACACATTCACTGGGGGCTGCTCTTGTATGGCATGGATAAACAGCCTGATGTCTCAGCCCTGAGCTTGGCTTGATCATTTATTCTTTATTTCATTTGTTTTGCACAGTGACCTGCCAGAATACAAAAACCCACACATACACGCACACAAAAAAAAAGCCTGATTAAGGCTGTCTGTACATTGCTGTAACATGAAGTTTATTTAAAAAAAAAAGAGACTATTTCAGTGCATGATGTTCACATCCTCCCCCACTGCTGTTGTTTTCCCTCGGAGATGCTGTCTAGGCGAGGATGCTTCATTAGGGTGATGAAATGGAAGGGATGGTTGGTCTGAGTGGCTGAGGAAGGGTGGAAACGCCATCCAGCTCTTCACCATCTCTTTGTGTTGGTTTTGCATCTCATAGATTTCACTTCAGGGATTAAGGAATACCAGCAGGAAAAGATCTTTGTGTCAGCTTAATTGTGTGTACTCTCTCACGCATGCAGTCTGCAAGTAGAAGCAAACGGAGCTGATATGCATACTTTTCTCCTGCTTTTCTATAGGATCAGGAGAAGAGAAGACTCGAGACCCAGAGGCAATATTTTAATTACAAAAATAAAAGCAAAAGCTTTGAATACGAAGCCTCTCAGACCTCCTCCCTGTCTCATGAATAAGCCAAAAGGGTCCGAAACCTGATTATGTTTCACCGTAGGCGGACAGCGACATGGAAACATAAATTACCCTTTGCTTCCTCTCTCTCTTGCAGCAATGCACGGCTGTTTTGATGCTGTGGAGCTGCTCCTGGAGCGGTAAGCAAGCTTCCTCCCAGTGCTACATCTCCTCTCTCCCCCGCCTCCATCCAGCTACCAGCACACAAAGGGCATTTATTCCATCCGGGAAGCTCAGCTGCACAGCTGCTCTGCATGCGATTCTGAGGCTGTCTCTGTTTCTTCCTGGCTTTTCATGGCTGGTGTTGGGCCTTGCAGGCAAACAGCAGCTCCGGATGGGCTCAGATGGCCTCAGACCTTGCTGTGACATAAGCCCTGGTTATATAACTCAGCTCTTCCTCTGTGCTGATTCATTCCTGTTGCCTCCAGTGTGGCCATATGATAACAAGGAAAGAGTTTTCTGCCCAGCTTGGTCTTTGTGATCTCCTCCAGGCTTTATTTCCAGGCTTCAGCTCCTGGGAGACTGCTGTGAAGTGGCTTTAAATCAGCCTATGCCCCATCATCCTGATCCTGTTGCCTTCCTAAATAGTGCTGCCTGCTGCAAGAGCTGGAGCAGCTTTCCCCAGGCATTGCAGCCACTGCAACCGTTAGCCTTACTCATCCCAGCCTTGTTAATTCATGTTCATGCTTGGCCCAGCATAAATGTAGCCCTGTGATTTGAGCCAGGCTTTCAATTTTAATTCGCTCTTCTCTCATTTCAGTGGAGCTTTAGCCTGATTGAGACCTGTGGGCATTGATTTTGTATGTGACATTGTTGTGTGAAGCTAAGATTCCTCCTCTGCAAGGTCTGGGTGCACCTTAGTCTTTCCAGCATCATCTCTTTGGGGAGCAAGGGAAGAGAAAATGGTCTGTAGAGCCTGAATGAGCTGCACCGGCTGAGTGCCACATCTCTGACCCTAAAATCCTTAGCTGGCCTGCATCTCAGATTGTAAAACACCAAGGCAGGTTTATGCATGGTGTGCAGACAGGCTCTATATATCTTCTTATTTATCCACTGATGATCTACTGCCCCACCAGTGCAAAGCAACTGAGATGGTGAGAATTTTGCAGCTGCCACCAACTCTGTCCTGGCTTTTGTCTTCTCAGGTGCCAGTACAAACCTGACAGCAGGGACAATTGTGGAGTCACACCCTTTATGGATGCTATCCAGAATGGGCATGTCAACATTGCACGACTGCTCCTGGAAAAACACCAGGTAAGTGCCAAAAACTTCTGCTCCCCTGTCCAGTGACCTGAGCTATCAGGACAGGTGATCGATCAGTTTGTAACCAAATCGTGACAAAGCAATTCAGGCAAACTTCCCATGGAAATGAATGAGATTTTGCCAGAAGGAGTGGGCTCGTGTAGGAGACCTCACTCTGTGACTGAGAAATATCCCCTTGCTGGTGAAGGGGGATGGAGGGACCATGGCAGGGAAGGATAGGACTTGCCCTCTGCTGCAGGGACAGTGATGTTAAATCCAAAACTGACTCTTGGGAGTTGTCAGGGCTCAGTATGAAGGCTCCTCCGGCCACACTGAGGATGGGTAAACCAAAGGCACATTGCTGAACCAACAGCAGCTCAGCTCTGACCTCCCTCTCTTGAGACAGCTGCTGCTCCCATCTTTGTCTCCCAGTAATCTCCTATTTCCTCCGGCATACAAGGCATAATAGGGATGTCATTAGAGCCAATTGTGTGTGGTAGGAACCAGACCACTGCATTATTTATTGACTGCTGAGTTAATGTGAGATGGTTGGAGACCACCTAATGGCTGATTCTCACGGAGGTGGAGCTGTTTCTCTCTTCTCACCCCTTCTGCTATTGCATGGCCTTTCTTCTGCACCAATTCCAAGGCTTGGACTTTATGGAAACTGCTGGCCTGGCAGAAAGCTAGCATGGTACAAAGTGAACCTGCCTGTGCCACACTGAACTGTCATGCTGGAATTGGCCAGCTGAGCTCCCAGCATGGCATAGGATGGGCCAAAAGCACATAAAGGGAATGTGGGACCCCAATTCTCAAGCTATCCACGAGCTGCATGCAGCAGGACAGGGCTGCAGAGACAGTTTGGTGCTCTAAGTATGTTCAAGTGCTTGTTAACTTCAGATGTTCCTGCTCTTGTGTTTGTGTATCAAACAGTATTACAATATGAAATGTTTGCTTACATTTTTTCAGACTCTCACTTCAGATGATGAGGATGGAACTGTTGATTTCATTTCCTCATTCTGGTGCCCTGGCTTACAGCCATGAAACCAGCACTGGAAACATTAATGGCAGTACAAAATGGTAGTAAAACTTTCTAGGTCAGACCATGAGACTGCAGGAGGATGTATTTTATCCTTTTAGACAAGTACGCTGTGTACTATCCCTATTACCCATCTTGTTTTTGTGTATTTGTGGCTGCATTCAGAGACTCACAGAAGAGATTTCTTGAAGTCCTCCATCCATCTCTGTCCCTCGAACCTACACCCAAATTCTTTTCCACAACAGAGGCTGGAGATGGGTTGTTTCTTGCTGCTTTGGCTTGGTTCTTCTATTTTGATACTACTCTTGCTTGTCACTTGAACTCAGCAGAGAGCTGGCTCTGGTCTGCAGATGACAGTGCTACCAAACTTGGTGTCACTTGGTGCTGGTGACATTCCCTGTATTCTTTGTTGCCACTGTGGCTGTGGCAGGCAGATTCTGCTTATCCTTCAAAGTTTGGCCAGGCTGTTCATTGCTTTTCCTTTCCCCCCTTCCCTTTGTTTCAGGCTTGTCCCACAGCTGTGGATGCTCTGGGTGCTCAGCCTCTGCATCGGGCAGCAGTCACAGCACAGGATGGAGCCATCCAATTCCTTGTCTCTGAGCTGGGTGTCGATGTCAATGGGAGAGCAACAGCTCTACAGCTGACAGCACTGCACTACGCAGCCAAGGTTTGTCCTTATCCCTCTGTTTCCTCTGCAAAGCCTTTGACAGTTGGTGCACTACCATCAGGCATCTAAAACAGGCTGGCTTAGGTGTTTGCCACTGATGAAGGATTTACATTCCTAGCTCATCCTCTGTCATTGTCTGTTTGTTCCTGGTCAACCCCATACCTTACTCAGTGTTTTTCAGACCCTTATTAAGTGTGACCAGCCGTCTGTATGATGGTGGATGTCTGTCTTGCTTTGTTCACCAGAAATCCTGACAGTACCTGACTGTGCTGAGGGTGGGTGAACCTCCCTGCATGGAAAGTGGCTGAGTGGCACTGAGTGAGAGCAGAGGTGGGTGGCAATAGGGCAGTTTCCTTTACCACTCATACAGTTTGTCGTGCTGTGGGTAAGACTTGACCCACATCTCTGGTGGGAGTCATCCTTCCAATCTATCACCTTTGGACCAAAATGTAGTGCCTGGTGGGAATCCACTTTGCTGATTAATGGGAGCTGTGGATGTGAACAGTTCATGAGAGGTGATGGTTCTTCACCAGCATCATCTCTCACCTGACAGGATAGGATTGGTGAGACACTGCTCAGATTTCTTTCTCCTCTTTCTTCAGTCCTGCTGGTTTGGACCATGGTGGATCAGAAGCTGGTCTCCATGCCAGCAGTTTGCTGAACAGAAAAAGCCTCAAATAGTGAGACACTATTTGTCCCAGGAGGTCAGATTCTGGCCTTCCTGTAGCCAGACATGGGAAAAGAGATGTAGAAAGGTGGAGGGAGCTCCCAGTGCTTATCAGTGTCCTTCATACAACAGTTGTTTGGAATTCCAGTCGGAGTTGTTTGAGCTTTCTCCTCCTCTTGTCTCAAGCCTGTGAAGAGTAAGGCTGTGGGTCCTGCAATGCTCCCTGGGCATGCAGAGCAGATCCCCAGAGCCTCCCTAATGACCAGGATTTCTCTTAAGGGGCCTGCTGTCTCACTTCTGCTTTGTGCTGCTGACTGCCTGCGCTCCAAAGGAAGCATCCCTGCTCAGAGCCCAGCATGTCAAACCTCATGAGCTTTAACACAGCGCTCAGAATCTTGTAGTGGGAATGAAGCAGCATCCCTGTGCCCCCTTCCTACAAAAGCATCAATGACACTCACTGAGAGTGCTGGCAACAGCATTTTCCTCCAGCAGGACCCAGCCATGGCATTTGCTGGCTCTCACAAAGGAAGCTTTTCTCCCATGCTCTAAGAAACCATGTTGAAAGCCCTTTTGGTTGCCAAGGGTACGTTTAACAGCAAGGCTATTGGGGAAAATAATGTGCCTTGGAGAAGATCCCAGCTCTGTCTTGGTGAGTGGCTGATTGGGGAGCAATTTGATGGGCCTCTCATCCTTCCCGAGGCTCAGTGTCACTTTATATTTATATTTACAGCATCATTTATTTGGCTGGTGGTGTTTTGGTGTTTTGTTTTTTGTTTTGTTTTTTGGTTTTTTTCTTTCCCCCTTATTACTTTGCATTTATAAATAAATTGAAAATCGAATTATGCTTTCAACTCAATTTGCTGCCAAGTCTGTGGCAGCAAAAGCAGTTCCTGGCTTTGCTGTCTTTGCCACTGAGAGGGCCTGTGCATGCAGCAGGGAAATGGGAATGTGATGCTACTGAGTTGTGTGATAATGGGGGAAAGAGTGGGTGTAGGGATAAAAATAGGGGCCTTCCACTCTCATGCCACATTACAAAGGCTAATTCATTGCATGGAAGAAGGAAATACAAAATCAGGCGCATTATTTAGGGAGAGGGGATTTATTTCAGGCCAAACTTGTGCAGCCAGGAGGGGTGTGAGGGCTGCATTGCATTTCTCCCTGCAGCACTTACATTTGGCTGCTGGCAGAGGTGTGGTAGAGAGCACCACGGGTTGTGCTGGTGTTTAAGTGTGGTGTTGTACATCTCCCAAGGCATTACAAATGCTGGAGCAATCCTTTAGGAAGTGCAGATGTCTGAAGGTACTGCAGATAGAAACACAGCAGAGCACATCAGCAGCAGATTCTTCTCTCTCAGCTGAAATAAACCTCAAGAAGAGCAGCTGTAGGTCTCCATAATCATAGAATCAGAAGGTTGGAAACGACCTGTAAGATCATCTAGTCCAAATAATACTTGCAGTAAATTTACAGCATGGGACAACAGCAGTTCTATGGTGACATTGTCCTTTTAACAAGCAGCCAGCTGTCCTTTATTAAAGGTAAGTCAGGGATCCTAGGGCTCTGTGACCAGCTGAAGTTAAAAGCATTTTAATTGAGTTACTCGATGGGAGGAGAGGAAGAGACAGGATCTGTTGACAAATCAGTGCACTAATTTGCTATTAAGGAACTTCTTTAGGTCTTGTCACCCAGTGCTAAGTCAGAGGTCATTTGTGCATTAACTCCTCTGTAGCCATCAGCAAAAGCAAAACTGCTCTGGGAGATGGTCCTCCTCTGAGTCTTTAGCTGTAACACCACCACCAGAGACATCCCTGCACTGTAGCATCATCTTAAGTACTTGCAATGCTTTTAATTTGAAATTGTGAGGAAAAAATTGCAGAGAGGATTATGCTCCTGGGATGCCTCTCGCTTTTTTTTTTTGGCCTCTGGGTCAAAATTGCTGGCAAGGGTTTTGCAGGAAGGCTGAGCAAAGGCCAAGCTGAGTGTCCTGTAGCAGCAATGTGGCTATGTGTGTGGGCAGTCCCTGGCTAACAGAATGGATCTGCACAGCTACAAGCATACAACAGAGATTTCCAGCTAGTCTAAGATCCTCTGGATCTTTTAACAGTTCCTGGTGGTCCCAGATTTGACCGTGGCAGATTCACTTTACATCTGTGCCTTTGCAGGTGCCTGGAGATTGCTTGTGGCCTTCTTTCTTTTCAGGCCTGTGTCGTTTCTTCTAAATGCAAAGGAACTGTGCTGATTTTGCTGAACAAATAACCCATGTGCCTGTGCTCACCACTGCAGGAAGGACACACGTGCACCATTCAGATGCTGCTGTCCCTGGGTGCTAATATCCATGCAAAGGATGGGAAGAACCGTTCTGGTAAGCATGCTAAGCTGTGTGTTCACACACTGTGTTGCAGCAAGACTGTGCTTTAGAAAGAGGAGCCTCTAAAGCAACCCGTGCTGCATCTTCTCATACAAGGGGATGCCAGGAGCATGGATGCAAATGGCTCTTGAAGCAGCACAGCATATGAACCCTTGGCAACTTTCATTTAGTAGCTCTCTTCTTGCTGGACTTTCTAATGTCTAATGGTGTTTTGGAGCATGTGTTGGGGCTTTTCTCCTGTGTGGACACGCTCATTTGGCTTTCTTTTTACACAGCTGCTTATTTTGCATGAAGCTTTCAGGAGTTTTGATACCCTTCATCAAACGTGGTTGAAATTAGGCAGCTCAAAACTCTTAAGGTAGGCAGACAAACATGATTGCACAATCTCTAAAGCCTTATCAAACTGCCTGGGAATGGCTTATGAGCAAATAGTAACAGAGAGCTTGAAAGTAAACAGAGTTGCTATAGTAGTACCAGTGAGAGTATGAGGCATCTCTTGCATCAGCATCTTTCTCTCTCTCTCTCAAAAAAAAAAAAAAGAGTATATAGAAATGGTTTCAACCATTGCTAAAATTGGCAACTTCCCCAGCCTTCAGGTTTGCTTAATGATACGCTTCAGTGGTGAGATTGAACAGTCTTGCAACTCTCAATCTCTCCCCTCACTCCCTCAAGTGAGTAAATTTGGGTTTTGCTGAGCTTGTCCAGCCCTGGGACCTTTGTGATGTTCTCCTCATACCCTGTTCTCCTTTGCTGCGTTTGTGTCAGTGTATACTGGGGTGTTTCCCACCCTAATCCACTCCTGCAAAGTGTTCTACATGAATTATCCTGCTCCACCCCTCTGGGCAACACCAGCAGGAGCTAATGACCCTCAGCACCAAAGATACTCACCCTATGCAGGTTTAGATCAGGAGAATAAGGCTGGCCCACCCTATAACAGGGCTTTAGGGCTACCTAACTGTGCTGGAGCTGAACTGTATCAGTCTGGAAGGCTCACTGGGATAAGCAGACTCTGTGAGCAGTGCTGTTTCAGCCTCCTCCTGTGGGATGCTCTTTGCTGTGTGCAGTACAGGGAAACCTTTCTGATTTACTCCTCAGCTCTGGAGTGAACTGGCAGGATGCCTCAGCCCATAACAGACCCAGGTCACATCCAGCATCTTTTCAAGCCACTCTCTCATGCATCACTGTTAAATCCACCCCAAATACAGAGCAGTAAGATGCCCACAGCTAACGTGGGCCCATGGGCCTTCTGCTCTACTGCACAGCCTTTCCCTCCTGACATAGGCACCCTTTTCCTGTGACTCAAAAAGTTGGCTTAAGTCCTCCCAGTCTGTTTGCAGACCTGTTTTGCTTTGGCTCAGCCAGCTTAATACCACTTGATGGGTTGGAGAGACAACCTGCAAAGAGGACATGGAGGGGTCATAGCGTTTCTACCAGCATGGCTGGGCTTGGAAAAGAAGTATCCCATGTATTTATGGGTTCAACCATCCTACTGGGAAGGCTGTGGCAGCTGAGCCATTGTACAACTGCTTGGTTGAAGTTATCTTTTGGTGCATTTCCTCTGATAATTCGGTTTCCTTCACTGAGGATCCAACATTTGCTTCTGAAGTGGGCTGAAGCTGAAGCCAGCATGCAGTCTCAGTTCCTTTTTGACATCCTGTCTCTCCCACAGCCCTGCATGCAGCATGTGCTGGGCAGCATGCAGCTGCTGCACAGATCCTGCTCAGCACAGGGCTGCAGGACAGCGAGGACAGCACGGGCACATTGGCACAGCAGCTTGCAAGGAAACCAGATGTCATCCAGGTTTTCCAAAAAACGAGTGTCAACTCATGAGACCAGCTGGGAAAAAGAGAAACCCACTTCGTTTTGGCTTGGTATGTGTGTAATTGCTTAATGAGTGTCCATATTAATGTTTAACACAGTGAATTTTTGCTCAGAGACTCAGCAGAGGAATCAAATTTAGCACTTGGAAAGTGAATTAAGGGGAAAGCATGTTGTAAATACAGTTATTTCAATGAGGGAATGAATATGTTGGGTGTGGGCTGTTGTGCTCTTGTTCTGACCCTATCTTTGTAAGTTCATGGATGCTCTTCTTTCACTTCCAAATTTCAGGGCTGAGCTACACCTCTTCCTGTGCAGCAGCAAATGCATCCCAATAGCTCCACCTTCCCAAAGGAAAACCATCAAAGGAAGGTGTCTCACGGGCTGCTGCTAGATGATCTCTGCAGGGCTTGAACCCATTGGAGACTGCACAGCTCTCAGTACAGCCAGACATCCTGAAGGAGAAGAAACCTGCATCATTTTTACAGCCCTTAATGTAGCTGCTCTCCACAAATCTGTTAAGTTGCTGTGTTTAAAAGCTTCTGAGAGAACGTGGTGCAGCAAAACTGAGCTCTGAGTGCCTCCCTTCGTCAGGGCTAAGCTGCTGTGTAGATGAGTGCAGGGAGACTGCAAGCTGCATCAGCCTCATACGTGGCCTAAGCCTCATCCCAAAGCCTGCTGACATCAATAGAAAGACCTAAGCCTTGTGGGGGTCAGAGTGAAAAAGACTTATTAGTTATTCCAGATGTGCCAAGCAAGGCTTCCTCACCAGCACTGAAAAAAACTGCTCCTTGAATTCCGAGGGGCAGTGGCTTAATATATAATGTAGCCAGTAAGTCTGGAATACACATAAAGGTAAGAGCTATTGGAGCTGTTCAGTTTCTTTGTATCTATATGGAATAAGAAGCTTCCTCTTGCATGGAAACCTACCACAGTCCTACCTGCAATGTCAAGTTGTAGCAAACAATGCTATTCCCCAGTTTAAGTGACAGCAGATGGTAAAAAGATGAGGCCTATAAGCAGGCTGGGTTTTGCTCTGCCCCAAGCCCTGTTGCTCACATCGTGGCTTGACACTCAGCTCATGTTTTCCCAGGAGGATTTAAGATGATGCTGAGCTCTGTTTGAGCGAGAAAATCCCCACTCTGCATTCCCTGGAACAGAATTTGCTGTGATGATACTGAGCTGGATAACAGCACTGTGCTCCTTTGGGGACTTTTAAATTAGAGCACAAATTGGGGTGATTTTAAGGACCAGAATGGACCTTCTGTTAGCAGTGGTTTTTAACCACACCTTTCTTTCTCCATCTGTGACATGAAGGAGATTCTTCGCCACCGAGGAGGATAAGAAATGAGTGCTGGGAGGTTCTAACAGTGCAATGGAAGCTGTGCCAGCCCCTTACCAAGTGGATTTATTCCTCTAAAGATCCTGAATGCTTCTAGAAATCTGCCCTTCATAAAGCAAATAGTAATTCTGCAGCCTATTACTGCTTCGTTCCCATTTTCCATGATGTTAGCAAGCCATGAAATAGCTATTTTCCCCTAATATTCCTCCTCAAGCTCAGCTTGCTTGTGAATCTGAGCTTTTATGAGAAAGCAAATGAGAATTTTTTCATGTGCCTTTCATAGCTCTCAGGGCCGTGGCAAACACCTGGAAATTAGAAAAAGGAACTTGTGTTATCTTGCATTATTTGTGAGGTGCTTTACACTTCCTGAAGCACAGATGTGGGCTGCACATTGGGCGTGTGCACCATTGCATGGTTGTGTGTGTTCCCATTGCACTGATGCACACGTGCACAGTGTGTGCCTGCCTGTTGCAGTGTGCATCAGTGCAGTGCACCCATGCATGCAGGCAACCACTGCATTGAAGCACACTTGCACGTTGGGTGCCTGCCTTTGTGCACGGCACTGATGCACGTTGCCTGTAGGCAGGCTTCCATTGCACTGATGCATATGCACTCAGGATGCACACGTGAGCATTGCACTTAGGCATCAGTGCAAGAGGTGCTTGCATATTTTCACATTGCACCTGAGCAGGAACCCATTGCACCGATGCACATTGCACACGTGCAGGCACCCAGGGCACTGATGCACATTGTACACATGCAGCACACGTTGCCGTGCACACACACCCGTGCATTGCATTGCACTGATTTGCGTTGCGTTGCATTGAGTTGCGTTGCATTGCATTGCATGCAGCCGTGCACCAGCAGCACGCGCGTGCACGCGCCCCTCGCACCAAACCCCGCAGCGATGCGCGCGCCGTCCACGTGACTCCTCCCGCGCTGCGACGAGCGGGAGGGAAAGCGGAGGTTGGGGTTCGGGTGGGGAGGGGGGGGGGAAGGATGCAGCGCGCATGCGCGCCGCGCCCCCACCACGGTGGCACGGCCGTCGTCGTCACGGCGCAGCTCCCGCCCCTTAGCGATGGCGCGCTCAGCCAATGGCGTGGCGGCGCGGCGTTGAGTGACAGCCGGGAGGGTGGGGCGGGGCGCGCGAAGCCACGCCCCCCTCCCCCCTCCCTCAGCGCGCTCTCCTCACGGCGGCGGCTCCATTTTCTCCGCTCCCGCGGCCCCTCAACGTCCGGTTCGCCTCAACCTTCGGCCGGCGGAGAGAGACCCCGTGAGAAACTTTTCCCTTTTTCCTTTCCTCCTCCTCCTCCGCCGCCATGAATGAGGAGTACGACGTGATCGTGCTGGGCACCGGCTTGACGGTGAGGAGGAACCGCCCCGCTCGGGCCTGGGCCCTGAGCCGCCGCCCTGACGGCCCCGCTCCCTCACAGCCCCCTCCCTCACACAGCCGAGCTCATTCCTCCCTTCTCCCCCCGTTATCGCCGTGGTTGCTTCACCATTCCTTTCTTCAGGCTTCTGTTGCCCACCTTCCCCCCCTTCCCTTCCGCCCCCCCCGCACCCATTTCATCTCATTCTCTCCCCCATCCCCGCTGCATTTTGTGTTCTTCATCCTCACAGCCCACCCTATGAGAATCCCCGCATCCCTTCTCCTCCTCCATCTAAATTGGGTCTGCCCACCCCGTCCCAATAGCACTGCTGTGTCCCCCTCATAGCCGCCCATAATCCCAGCCCCTTCCCCATAGCATTGCTGTGTACCCCCATACCCCCCCATAATCCCAACCCCTTCCTCCATAGCCACCCCATAATCCCACCCCCTTCCCCGTGGCACTGCTGTGTCCCCCTATAGCCCCTCGTAATCCCAACCCCGTCCCCATGGCACTGCTGCCTTTCCCCATAGCCCCCCATAATCCCAGCCCCTTTCCCATAGCATTGCTGTGTACCCCCATAACCCTTCCCCCTAACACTGCTCCCCTATATAGCCCCCCTATAATCCCAACCCCTTCCCCCATAGCCCCCCATAATCCCAACCCCTTCCCCATAGCACTGCCGTGTACACCCCTAGGCCCTCCCTCCCCCCATAATCCCAACCCCTTCCCCATAACACTGCTCTGTACCCCCTTAATCCCACCTCTTTCCCCATGCTGCCTTCCCCCGTAGCCCCCCTCATCATCCCAATTCCTTCCCCCATAGCCCTCCCATAATACCATCCCCGTCCCCATAGCACTGCTATGACCCCTTATAGCCCCCTGTAATCCTAACCCCTTCCCCATAATACTGCTGTGCATCCCTATAGCCCCCCCATAATCCCAGCCCCTTCCCCATAGCATTGCTGCATTTCCTCATAGCCCCCCCCATAATCCCAACCCCTTCTCCATAGTACTACTGCCTTCCCCCATAGCCCCCCCTATAATCCCACCCCCTTCCCCATAGCACTGCTGTGTACCCCCGTAGCCCTTCATATTCCGTTTTCGGGAGGGGGGGGGTCGTTCCCTATTCTCTGCCCCCAAGAAATGCGGTTACTTAAGGAGAGATGTGGGCAACAAAGCGCTAAGGGGATGAATTGCATTCTTTTATTATTATTATTGTTATTATTATTGTGAACCATCCAGAGCTCTGAGCCCATCTTAGGGTGGAGGCAGCCCCGCGCACTGCTCCGCCTTTGCAGCCTTCAGCTCTCCATCCTGACTGCAGCAGGAGGGGGAGGGGAGTGGATGGGGATGCGGGTGAGCCCTGCACGCCTGTCAAATCCCTCTGCTTTCGTTATTTCTTTAATTTCCCCCCCCCCTCCTCCGAATCTGTCCCACCTTTTGCTGCTGTTAACCCTTCCTGACAGCACTCGGGATGAATTGGGGGGGGGGTGGAGGGGTGGGGGGAAGGGTGGAGAGCAGCGCTGTGGCTTTGTCCTATTGTGGAGGATGCGGCCCCACACTGCTGCAGGCGGCTGAGAAGGAGAGAAAAGGAATAATAATAATAAAAAAAAAAATGGCAGCGCTGCTGCTGGTGGGGTTTGCTTCAGGTTTCTGCCTTCCTTCGAAGTGGGGAGATGCGCTGAGCTGCTGCTTGGTTTATCTGCTGTGATTTTATTCAGGGCTTGGTGCTGGATTGCAGGTTGCAAATCGGAGGCATTGTCTGAAGAAGGTGGGGGGGGGGGGGGGGGGAGAAAATCCAATATGGTGGAGAGGTTTTCCTCTCGTTTGTGCTTTTCCTGCTTTTGTTTCTTCCTGTTAATTGGTGAATGGGCAGAGAGAGGTCTTTGGGGCTGGCTGTGATATTTCCCCCACCCCATTTCCCCTTTTGGTGGTCGTTGTAAATAGAAATACGTGCGCTGTGATTGAGGGGAGGCACTGTGTCTGCTGACACATGGCTGAGGACAAAGCTGCTTTCCTATCTGGTTTCTCTGGGAAGAATTGTCACAAAACCACGATGTGGCACAAAGGAAATGTGCAGAGTGTGGGAGCGTTGTGGGGTGAAGCCAACTTTATTGGTTGCTCTCATTCCTGTCTCTGCCTTTGAGCTGTCAGGAATGACCTACAAGGCAAAAAATGAAATAAAAAAAATAAAATAAAAACCTTTTTTTCCCTCTGATAGGGAAAACTGTCCCCAGAAGCTGCATCTGCCTTCACCAAAGCAGGACTTTTGGGGGGAGATGAAATCTAATGAGCTTCTTTAGGCTTCCAATAGATGCGAGCGCCATTAAAATGTTAATTTATGCTTTAGAGGGAAGCTTGGTATCAAGTTGGTGAGTGCCGTGCTTAATTTCAAACTGACAAATACCAATGTAGATTTGACAAAAGGCCTCTTGTGGAATCGCTTGTGAGACGAGCTCGTGCTAATGATCAGCGGTTGGCTTAGAAGGAATAAATTACATCTGGGTTCTGAGGTGAGCTGAGAGATTGCAGGACAGCAGCGTGTGCCGTGTGGCCTTTACCTCTGAAATGCCAAATAGAGCATTATGGGCTTCATCCGGACACGGTGCAGCTGGTGAGTTGGGATGTGCCTCATCCTATATAACAGTCTGGTTGTGGTGTCAGGGCAGAGCCTGGTGCAGGCAGAGCACTGCCTAAACAGGGTGAGATGAATTGGAGATCCTGTTTGCTCATTGCTGCCTGCTGGGCTGTGCCCATCTTTTGTGCTGTGTCTTCTGTCATACATACAATACCTAGGGACTGATGTGGGGACAAAACACACAGAACAGCCAACCCAGCCCATTTGGGAGATGCAGTGAACGTCTCATCTGTCCTGGAGGGATTTTCTTTCTCCTTCCAAAGTGAAAAATCAGCTGTTGGTTATAAATAAAAGTCATTGAAACCTGTATAAAGAAGGTGCAGATAAGTTTGTTGCAGTGGTCAATTCTGACTGCATCCACAGGGCTGTGTGAGTGCACCAGAGCACGTGTGTGAATGCCATTTCTGATTGACCTGAAAGCATTCTGGGATATTACACTGGGAATGGCTTCTCTCCACTATCAATCTCTTCACCCAGTAACGAAGGCAGCGTGCAGACTGGGACTGAATGCATCCCCTCTTTCCTCTGATGCATGCTAATGGCAGTGCCAAGCTGTGTCTTGGGAGCACGGAGGGGGAAAAATAATCACAGCACATCTTTAATCCTGAATTACTGCTGATACTCCAGGCTTGCACATCAGGTATAATTAACCTCACAGTGCTCAGATTAGGGCACTGTGCTCCTCTCGAGCTTCTCTGCACGTGGTGCAGTGCTGGCTATGGGCAGGTGTTTGTGTCTGGCTGCCCAGCACGGAGCTGCTCTTTCTCCCACATTGCAGATGCTGCTGGGAATGGCTTCTCCAACATACTCTTAAATGACTTAAGGTGGTTATCTGTGCTCAGTGCAACAGTGGGATGCTGGATGTGAACGCTGAGCATAAAAGCAAACCGCCCTGTTCAGCCCCAACAGATGAACTCTGCGTTCCTCTGGGGTTTTCACTCATTGCAGGCACTGCTATGCTGAGCTAAGCTTCTTACCTGCCAACTGCCTCACCATGTGAAAGCAATGTAAATCCATCACAGAGGTACGGATTCACTTTCTATAAGAGCAGAGAGGCCTGGCTCTTTGTTTTCACTTGTACAGGCACAGACCTTGCTGCGTAAGGACCTAGAAAGAGCATCAGAGTGACAGTGAGAACTGAGCAGAGCATCCCTGTCCCTTGCATCATCCCCTGGTCGCTGAGGGCATTGCTTAATGCTCGCTGCTTTTGCAGCTTGTAGGGCCAAGCAGATCTTCCCCTTGGAGCTGTTGGATGAAACAACACTGGCTCAGGTTTCCATCGGTCTGTCTGAGCCTTTCTGAACTGCTGCCCTACTTG